TTTTTTTTAAAAAAAAAATTAAATTGGAATTTTTTTTTTCATTTAAATCAGATTTTTTTAATTCGATTTTTTTATCTTTATCAAATTTATTTTAATGGAATGCTTTTGGAATAAAAATCTATCTAAAGATAGTTTTCTCCATTTAAGATACATTAATAATTTAATTTATTCAGCATGAAATGGAGCTTCGTTATGCAGCACGAGGCTGTTCATTCTGCCATATTTACATTTTTGGTAAACTCATTCAATGAATCCAGGCTCTGCAAGCTGAGATAATATGCGCCGCGTTGATGCATTCACACAATTTCACAGCCGAGATGGCAGTTCCTCTTTAAAATTATGATTTAGGTCCAGTTGATTTCAGTCAAGCCCTCTTAATAGCGATTTAAATCATGATTTAAACTGACTTAATTTAAATCGAATCCACCGTGATTTGAGCCATTAAAAACAAGAAGAGGAGAAGATTGTGGGATTTTTTTTCCGCTCTTCCTGTTAAAATAGGTATTTAAGGCACCTCCTATCCCTGTGATGGCAAGCCCATGGCATGAGAGCCGTCACTCAGGTCAGCTGCACCGCACATGCGCTCGTGCCTCCCACCAGCCAGCTGGTTTTTGGGTCTCTGCCGGGGGGGCGCGGGGGGATGTCACATGCGTATGCGTGGGGCCACATGAGGACAAAAAAGTTGTACTATCCTGTGCTGCTGTTTTATGCTACTGTTTTATTTTCACTCTACTTCCAGTGAAGTAAAAATGGGAGTAATAGAATCCTAGGTTGGGTTGTGGGTAGGTATGGGGGAGGGTGATGTTTACTTTGCTTGTCTTATCTAGGGAGACTTTAAGTTCCCTTGCTAACAATACCCCTCATTTTCTGATTCTTCTTTTCTTTCTTCCGTGACTTGACAGAATGATCGTGGAGCTGCATCGGAAGGTATCCAGCCTCATTGAATTCCTGAAACAGAAATGGGCTCTCCATGAAGTGCGTATCGTATCCTTTCTCTGATGCAGAAGTTAGTGGGGTGGAATGTAGACTGGATTCCCAAGAGGGAGGGGATGCATTCCAAAGGAGCAAGAGACATGGCGGTTAGACAGTTCGTGTGGGAGGAATGAGAGGAAGACAGCTCCTGCCTAATAGTTCCCAGAGTATCTGTTTAATAGTGCAAGTAGTCAGTTTTAATTTGGCAAGATTTTTGTCTGTCGTAGAGGTAAAATAAAAGAAACGGCTCAAAAGAACCTCAGAATGTCTTTTTGGGGGGTTTTAGAGACTGTTTCAATTAGTTTCTTCCTTGTTCCAAGAATTGGCATTTTTAACATTACAGGTAATCCTCCACTTCACAACCACAATTGAGCAATAATTTCTGTTCCCAAGTGGGACAGTTATTAAGTGAGTTTTGGCCCATTGTACGACCTTTCTTGCCACAGTTGCTAAGGGAATCACTGTAGCTGTTAAGTTAGTAAGAGGGTTGTTGAGTGAAACTGTCTTCCCCATTGGCGTGTGAGAAGGTCGCAAAAGGACATCTAGAGCCGAGATGGCACAGTGGTTAGAGTGCAGTATTGCAGGCTACTTTCTGCTGACTGCCAGCTGCCTGCAATTTGGCAGTTCGATTCTCACCAGGTTCAAGGTTGACTCAGCCTTCCATCCTTCCGAGGCGGGTCAAATGAGGACCCAGATTGTTGGGGGCAAGAGGCTGACTCTGTAAACCGCTCAGAAAGGACTGTGAAGCACTGTGAAGCAGTATATAAGTCTAAGTGCTATTGCTACGTGACCCTGCGACCATCATAAATATAAGCCAGTTGCCAAGCGTGTGAATTCTGTTCACATTTCAGTGGGGATGCTGCAACGGTTGTAAGTGTAAAAAACGGTCATAGTTCACCTTTTTCGGTGCTATTGTAACTTTGAACGGCCGCTGAACGGACTGTTGTAAGTCGAGGGCTACCTGTACTAATGTTCATTAAGCTGTCTCTTCCATTTAGAACAAGGGTTTCTTTCCCAGTTCTTTGCATTTTTGCAGTCTCATTAGTTAGCCCTCCTCTCTTCAGGGCCTCCAACAAAATGCCACGGACTTGTGTGGGGTTTCCGTGGAAATATTTACAGGTACAGCCTGCCTCTTTTTTGCTTCTCCACACCTGTCTTCCTAAACCTCCTTCACATAGAGGAAAACACTAGCCGAGCGGCAGCTGCAAGATTGCAGAGATGCTGAAGCCAGCAGCAGCTATTCCGAAGAGAAAACGACGTTCCATCTCTTCCCGGGGGAGAACTGCACGCTGACGCCCCTCCCCGGGGTTGCCCGCGTGGTACACTCCAAAGCTTTCTGCACAGTGCATTGGCAGGAATCGGGCCGCTGCAAGCAGAGTACGAAGGATGTCCACCTGTTGCCCCCTGCCCAAATCCTGGGCATACAGAGCGGTCAGGGGACAGCCAGAGGGCAGGTGAAATACTCACGGGGGGCGGAAAGCAAGGGCGGAACCAAACCCGAAACGACGGCGGAACTGAGCAGAACGCCTCAGTTGATCCTTGATCCCGTCGCGAACCCGGACGACTGCTCCGCCGAAACTGGGCTCACCGAAGGCACATCCTCGGACCTTGGCATCACCAGCCATCTCAACAAGCCGCCCGCTGGGCTTCAGGACCCAAGCGGGAGCCTGGAGAAGTCCGTCCTGGTGGCTGAGAGCAGAGTGGTGGTGCCCGCCGCGGTAGACGCCAGCAGCAGCGGCAAGTGCAGTTGCGGCGATCTCCCGCCGGATTTGGAAGAGTTCTCCCTGCTTGATCCCTTCCCTCGTTACATGAAGTCATGCCATGATCTGATTGTCCCTGAGAAGTGTCTCTGTGCCGAGAAGCTGGATAGAAAAGAGGTGGTGGCCTTTCCGGAAAGTTCTCCTCCCAGGGGTGGTTTCCCTGGCGGCAAGGAGACCGGCAGCCGCAGCCCCCCACAGCTGGCAAGCAGCAGGGTGGACTTGCTCAGTGTTGGTCCGTCCACTTCTGAAACTCAGGCCTTCCCCTGCTCCGGACTTCAAGCGGAACCGTGCGTGAAGGAGCTTCCCGATGTAGTAATGGAGGATTCTCAGGAGAAGCTCAACCCCTCACTGCCACCACCACCACCTCCTCCTCCTCCACCGCCTCCAGCTCAGGGACAGACGGCCGCAAAGCCTGTCAAAGACGACCCCAGCCGCCTCGCACAGCAAGTGCGGGAGAAGGGGTGGAGCTTGCGGACCTCTGAAAGCCTTACCTTGGCTGAAGTCTACCTCATGATGGGCAAGCCGAACAAACTGCAGCTAGAATACGATTGGCTGGCAGTCCTGGGGCAGGAAACCCAGGATGCCGGGGAGCCCATCGCCGAACCGAAATCTGTTCCTCCATCGGCCACTTTCCACAAACAGAAACTCCTCAATTGCCTCTTGAAACTCATCTCTTCTGAAGTGAACCCCAAACCAGTAAGTACCCTATTTTTCAGGAGTATAAGTCGCTGTGGAGTATAAGAGGCACCTTAGTTTGGGAGGAGGAAAATAAGGAGAAAAAAAATTCTGCCTCTGCCTACCAGCATCCATCAGTATTTAGCTGGCTAGCGTCCTTAGCAAACAGCCTGAAACTGCAGCACATTAGCCTGATTCTACAGGAGCAGCTGATTGGCGGGTGAATACCCCCAATCAGCTGTTCCAAGAGGTGAACTTTAGCAACAGATTCGCTGGTTGTGAGCTTTGGTCGCACGCATCTCATTGGGGCTGATACATCGCTTCAAAAATGCAGCTGATCATTGCAAGGGAGTGAGTACAGCGGGCGAAGCATGGAACCAGTCAGAAAAGGCAGCAGCTCTTCTGGGTTGCCATTTTGGCCTCTGCGGCTCACATTTTCAGCCTCCAAACGCTCCGTTTGAGACCCACTCAAGGTTGGGGGGGGGATCACCGAAAGCACATTGCCACTGAAAATATGACACACAGGGGCCAAGAACGGGGCGTGCAGAGACCAAAAATGCGATGCGCGGAGGCCAAAAATGGGGCATGTGGAGGCTGAAAACGCTATGTGCTCTGGCGATCCCCGCAGCCTTGAACGGGTCTCAAATGGAGCGTTCAGAGGTTGAAAACGTGAGGTGCAGAGGCCAAAAAGGTAATCCACGGAGGGAACTACAGCCTGGAGAAGGTTTAAAATATGACTCCCGGAGACCGAAGGGTGGTGGCCAGCAGGTGGGTGGGACTAAATTTGGTGTATAAGACGCACCCAAATTTTCAGCCTCTTTTAGGGGGAGAAATGTGTGTCTTATACTCCCAAAAATATGGTATCTGTTTGGACTCATTAGCGTCCTAGATTGGACTGTGTAGCCACTGCTTAAGTCATTGTAACAGATCCTGTGAATGAGTTTGGCTGAAGGTAACCTCCATCTTTCCTGGTTATCCAGATGTGGATGTTTAAATCTTTTGCAACTGGCTTGCAGCTTCCCTCCTCTGCTTGCGTCTCTCTTCTGAAAGAATGACTTTAGGACATAGGTTTATTCGGAATAATTTTGATCTTCTTTTTAAGCATATTTGCGACGGTGGTTAATAATATTGTTCAGTGCCACTTAAAAAGAAAAAAAGACAGAACAAGGAGAATTTTCATCATTTTTTTTTTAGTTAGACATAATCCCCACTTAACGACCAGAATTGGGAATGGCAATTCTGTTGCCAAGCACTGCAGTAGCTCAGCCAAAATTCATGTGACTTTTGTCGCACCTACCTCATTTCCACTTTTGCAATTTTGTTACAGCCCCAAATTATGATTGTAAGAGATCAATTTTAGGTAGGCATATATATGTAGATATGTGTGCAATAACCAAAACTGATGATAACATGTAGATTCTCGTACATATGTAAATGTATAAATGTAATGATCAATTTTGGGTGGGCGCACCAAAGTTTTTATGAGGCTTGCTGGGTTTCTGGGGTAGTCTTTAAAAGCTTTTTAAAATTCTGCAGACCTTGACGTAAAGCAAATGTTACTGGACCCCTGGGCTACACCAGCGGTCACCAACTGGTGGTCTGTGGACCACGAGTTGGTCCGTGATGAAATTTTGATGGTCTGCAGAAAAATATTTGCATTCTTTTATATTGCACTAAATCAGGGATCCTCAAAATACGGCCTCTGGGCCGGATAAGGCCTGCTGAAGCAATTACTTCCGCTCACTGATGGGATGGTGTCCTTCAGGCACTTAGCTCGGCTGCCTGTTTAGTAGCTACAGTCCTTCCCTCCCTCCCTGGGAGTCCAGGCACTTCAGTGAGCGGTGCGCGAAACTTCAGCCGAACTGGAGAGACTAGTGTTTGCAGGGGGCCGATCTAGCACCCAGGCTGACTACAAGACAAATATTCATTCTTGGTGTTTGGGTCCTTCAGGTACTTAGCTTGGCTGCCTGTTTAGTAGCTACAGCCCCTCCCTCCCTCCCTGGGAGTCCAGGTGCTTCAGTGAGCGGTGTGCGAAACTTCAGCCAAGCTCGAGAGACAAGAGTTTGCAGGGAACCGATCTAGCTCCCAGGCTGGCTAGAAGACAAACATTCATTCTTGGTCGTATTTGAGATTCCTAGCTGCAGTGGACAGCAAAGCTAGCATTGACCCCGGGCGATTCTCTCCGCTAACAGGCAGCCAAGCTAAATGGCTGAAGGACCCCATCCCATCACTGATTCATATTAGTGATCCATGGGATTTAAAATTATGAATTTAGTGGTCCCTGAGGTCTGAAAGGCTGGTGGCTTCTGGGCTAGACCACGAGTGAATTAACCACTGTCCTGTCCCACCACGGTAGTTCCGAATGTTCTTTGGAATATCTGCTCTTTAACATGCGATGATGATGATGATGATGATGATAATGAAGAAGAAGAAGTTGTTGACCATGATAATGGTTTGAAGCATCCTGCAATTCACTGCTTCCTTTCTAGATCCCCGAAACGAATTCCGTTGCAACCTCCCCCATCAAGCCCATTCAAGAGGAGCATGCTTTGACCCCTCCCGGGAAGGTGATTACCATTAGCACCAGGAGCCCGGGCTGTGCTCGCAACCAACCTGCTGTTCATAAGAAGACCTTTTCCCCCGGTGCCACTCCCAACTCCTCAGGTGAGTCATTGTTACAGAAAACTTGTCCGCTCTGTGCCGTGTCCACATAGACGTGCCCCCCCCCTTCAAAATTCTGTGCCTAGGAAATGTCCAGATTCTCAATAGAGGTGGAGATAGCATCCATACTTGGGTTGACATTATCTGCCTTCTGATTGGACTGAGTTTGATAAATGTAAGTTAAGACACGCCCCTTGTTGCTAGCCTTACCCAGCTTTCCGACTCAGTCCACTTCATGGATGGTCGTGTCATTGTGTGTATCCTGATCACTTTGCTGATTTAATGATTGGTTGAAGAATTAATTGACTTCTTTTCTTATGCTGTGAGTGGGACTAGAATAGTATTCTGAAGCTGTTAGCTTGGGCTGGAGCGTGGGGGCTTAGGCCCATAACTCGCCCTGTGGGCCATCTGCCTCCCAGGCCCCTGACTAGGCGGGAGAGAGCGTAGCGTTCTTGAAAAGTCACTAACTGATCCTCAAATCCCTCGCTTATCTCAGACGGCAAGGAAGGATCGCAGTGCTATTGCGGATCTCTTCAAAACGCAGAGGCAGGAGGTGAAGCCCTGAATCGGCCCAGGGCTTTCTCCCTGCCGCGTTCTGCCCAGAGCCGCCATTTTGGTTGCTAACGTGCCCCTCCCTCCCTTCTAAATTCTGTGCCTAGGAAATGTCCAGATTTTGGGATCTCTCGAATGCATTCTTCGATGGGGCAATGTGGTCACAACAGCCATTTTCAAGTTTGGGGTTGGAGGAAATCGTTCCGTGGTTTGGAATTCAGCAACTTGCGGCGAGCTGCAGATTTGTCAGTTCTCCGAGAGAAAAACCGAAGAAGCCTTCTTGGATGAGAAGCGAAACGTTTTCAAAGAAATATTAACAAGAAAGCCTTTTGGAAAAGGACCTTTGGGGCGGGGGATCTCCTAGAGCAGTGTTTCTTAACCGTGGCAACTTGAAAAGATGTGTGGACTTCAAATCCCAGAATTCCCCCAGGCAGCTGGAGGAATTCTGGGAGTTGAAGTCCACGCATCTTCAAGTTGCCACAGTTGAGAAACACTGCCTTAGTTAGGGAGGTTGCACTCATTCATTTCTCTGTTTCCTTGTGATGTAATTCACACCTTCCTCCAGATCCATACAGGTTTATGGAAAAACGTCCGAGGCTTTTCCGAATAAAAATCCTGCCTTGACTGTCCTTTTCCGTAAATCAACCCTTAATGCCTTTATTGTTTCCTGTTAGGTTTCTGAAATGCTTTAAAACCCTCTTGGTGGCTAGTTAGAACAGAACAGAATTCTTTATTGGCCAAGTGGATTGGATAGAATAGAATAGAATAGAATAGAATTCTTTATTGGCCAAGTGTGATTGGACACACAAGGAATTTGTCTTTGGTGC